GGAGGGCCAGGGCTGAGCCCGGAGCACATGTGGCTGTGCGGCACAGGGCTTGGATGAGGAGCCTGCAGCCTCACACACACACACACACACACACACATGAAGCAGGCCAGCCCCCAAGCGGGGTACCCTGCTGAGGCCTCCCCCAGTCCCAGCACAAGGCAGGAGAACTGAGGGGCCCTCACTCACCACGGGTATGGCTCCGGGAAAACCATCGACTTCCATGATGGCCGGAAGTCAGGCTTTCTCCCCACAGACCGCAGACCATGGCATGTGGAGGCTGGCCCCGCTGTCTAGTCACGCTGGACCCCCTCGGATATGCATGGGCACTGGGTCTGTACCCCAGAAGACTGGCCCTGGCACAGAGCAGAGGTTCAGGAGAAACGTTTGCCATTCTTGTCAAGCACTGCTCCCAATGCTGGGCAGATTCTGGGATGGATCAGGCACAGGCCCTGCTCCTGTCTCCCAGAACAGAACAGCCATGCCTAGGAAGCACTGTGATGTGAGACAGGAGAAGGTGCAGACCACAAGGAAGAGGTACCTGAAGGAGAAAGAGTGGCGATCAGGGCAGGCTTCCTGGAGGCAGCGTGTGCAGAACCCCGAAGTTCTGAGGCAGCAGGTCACAAGCCACAGAGCGTGTGAGGGCCAGATCCAGGCCACCATCTGTGTTTGTATGACTCAATGATTTAAGAACAGTTCTTGTAATCGTTTAATGGTTGCAGTTTAAATAGTTACTTAAATACCTACTTAATATCCTTGATTTTGCTTCTTGGCCAAGAAAGCATACAGGATCTGGCACAAATAATGCCCCCTTTTCATCACAAAATCTTTTATTACAAAATCGTTAAGCATGTAATTCTGTTACATAACAATATCACACTCAAGCACACCCTAGGACATTTTAGGTGAAATGTTCAAGTTAAAACTAGAAACCATTACACCCATATCATTACCCTACCAACCACACTCAAGCAGGCCTTCCTTCTGCCAGGCCCTGTATACTATTTATGGCCTGACCCTTTAAAAATGTCTGCCAACTCCTATAACTAATGCACAAAAAAAATCCCAACATAGCACATAAAAATCATGGCCAATGCTTGCTGAAGGCTCACTGTATACTGCGTGCTACGCTCCACAGACATCACTTAATCTTCGCAATAGCCCTGTGGGGGTTACAGCCCCTCTTGCTTCTCGGCTGAGAAGGCAGCCGAGCCATGGAGAGGCAGCAGCTTCCCAGGGCCTCGGAGCCTCGGAGGGCAGATCCTGAGCCATGGCTCTTCCCTGCATCGCCCGCTTAGATGCCTGTCGGGTTTCCTGTGGAAGAAACACGTGAGCCATGTCTTCTGCACAGGACACGTGAGAAACAAGCCTGTGTGTGGCTGGGAAGAAAAAGGGAGGCAGAGGCCTGAGAGGCATCAAGTCGCAGCGGGCTCCGAATGCCAAGGCGGGTACCACTGTGCAATCAAGGCACAGCCGACGACACAGGCACGTGGCCATTTCCGTGCAACGCTGTTTATGGCAGCAAAATACGGAGAACAACCTAAATGCCCATCGCTAGGTGATAAGATAAACTCTAGAACATGCCTTTAATAGAACGCTAGGCAACCTTTTTAAAAAATGAGGATCTTCTTTATCTTCGTTGTATTAGTCAGCTATTGCTGTGTAAACAAGCAAGCACATGCTCTTAGTGGCATACAATAAGCCAGTATTTCTTAGGTGTCTACAGACCAGCTGGGCTCAGCTGGTGACCCCAGGCCCAGGTCGGGGCATATCTGCTCCACTCATTCCTCAGCCTCCTTGGCCCAGGGGCCCAGTACACACATTCTTTTTATAAAAAGAGCAGAGGCACAAGAAGCTAATGAAACAAGACAAGCCTCTTACGCCCGTGGCTCAAAGGGCACCTTGTCACTCCACCTTGTCTTAATCTAATGGCCTTCACAAGGGACATGGACGAGCACAAAGTCAAAGGTCTCTCCCCTTTTGTGGAGGGAACTGAGAAGCTGCACAGCAAAGGGTGTGAACACAGGGAGAGGTGAAGGCCTAGGCCAATAATTCAACCAAGTGCACATCCTATTACGGAACGATACCCAAGCTGCGTTAACATCTTGGTTACTTGCCACAGCTGGCACCGCCCCTTAGTCATAAAGACAGCCAGGGATGCAGCCTCCGCAGCAAAGCGGAAGTCCCCCAGGGGTGAAGTCCACATCTGACACAAGCCCTCTGAGGCCATCCACTCACAGAGCCCAGCACGGTTAATATCTGTGCCACCCACCACCTTGAAAATGGAGCAAATGACATCTGCTCCACCTGCCACCTTGGACACATGCAGGAGACATCTGCTCTACCTGCCATCTTGCACACATGCTGGTGGCGTCTGCTCCACCTGCCAGTTTGGACACATGCAGGGGACATCTGCTCCACCTGCCACCTTGCACACAATGTAGGTGACATCGGTTCCACCCGCAACCCCACCCCCTTCATCCTGCTGCATCTCCAGCAGGACCGCTAGGCAGACCTAGCAGGTGCTGAGAAGGAAGGCAGGTTCCGGAGAGGGCCCCGCTGCGCGCCTTGGCCCCGCGCTGCCCAGCACCACCCCACAGGCACCCGCCCGGCCCACGCCTGTGATCCTAACCGCCCTGCCGCTGGCCCCCGTGGACAACACCTCCAGAGCCACCATCTCTCTTCCTTTCGCATTTGCACACCAGGGACCTCCACAGCGTCCCTTCCCTCCAGGGTTGTCCTCAATTCTGGCTGATCAGAAGAGCCATGTAAAGAAGTTTGACAGGCCAAAGTCACTTCCAGGGCACTCAATGGGTCAGAGCCATAACGGCCACTTTTGAGACCAGTGATCCCAGCCCATTCAGCCAGAGCTCAGAGGTCAAGGTCAGGGAAACAATCCTGAGTGGGCCAGTGTGGGAGTGGGGAGAGTACTTGTGGCAGAACAGGAGGCAAGTTCAGACTTTTCCGCACTTGCTCCCACGTGTGGAAAAATGGGCCTTGAAAAATCTTTCTAAAAATGCCCCCCAGAACTTCAACAACTTTTAATTCTGGTAATGACAAACTATAAGGTACTTCAAACCAATCCTCCTGCTGAAGCCACTTAAAAGGATTTGGACAAAATATTTTTCAGGTATGTTTAAATGCACTCAAGAATTAACAAGAGAAGGAAGAACGCTCGGGCCCAATCTGATGGCAGCGAGAACCCAGAAAATGCTCCCGAAGCTGCTTTCACATTTGCGATCCTGAGGAACAGCTGGTGTGTTATCAGCCTGCGGGACCAGGGGACAGAGAGCCGCGCCCCAGGCCCACCCACGGGGAGGAGCCCTATGAGCACCCATGGAGAGGCAGAGGCACAGAGACCCAGCCCCAGCACCTCGGGGTCCTCAGCACACCCTCCTGCTGTGCGAGCCTCTTGGTGGACGTGGCGCCTGCCTGCTCGGAGGCGGAAGGTCGTCCTCGCTTGCTGACTGATCGCAGGCTCGCATTCGCTGCACTCCCTTTCCTGTTTTACGATGCACTGTTAGTCACATGCAGGATTTCTTGGATGGCGAGTTCTTGGTTAGAAACACAGCCCCAGATCGTTACCTTGTGCCCGTGGGACCGTGGGATTCCCCTGGGGACAGTCAGCCCTGTCACACGGTTTATGGGCTCACATGGCAGCTGAGACAGTCCCACTTCTGGAAATGCAAGTTTGGGAACTGTTCTTTTTCTTTGAAGCAGCTGGACTGCGAGGGAGAAAGTCTAGAACCAAAAAATGGCGGGGATCAAGTCCCTGTTGTGCCACTTCGCAGCTGCATAACCAAGGCAGCTGACTCCTATCACCAAGGTGCATTTTCCCCATCTGCAAAATATGGATAATGATGCTAATAACAATAATGACAATAATAATATCCACAATATTCAGAGGAGCAGTGGGAGGTGTCAAAATAGGAGGCCCGACGCCAGGCAACTGCTGAGAGTTTACCGCTCGATAAACGATTACTGTTTCTAACATTAGCAGAGGTGTGTCTTGGATGCCGCGGTTCAGAGCAGCGGTTTCCAGCCATTCCCATCTCGCAGCACACAGACCGGAACTAATTCCTACATTTCTGCCGCACACCGTAAAATAGATTCTACTTTGCCAATGTGACCCAAAAATAGGTATAACTTTGATCGATTTGCAAAATGATAATAATTATAATAATTACCTACCCTTTTTGCACCAACGTGACTTTTTAAAAAAATCAGGTGCCTATACCTGTGTATGAGAATTAACCAATCAGACACAAACTTATTATGCGATGTGACCAGTAAGAAGCAACTCTGTTATATGACCTGTATGTTTATCGTTCTACGACAGGACATTCACACCAGACAGCTATTGTTAGGTGGCCTGTTGTCATTTTTTTTTTTTTTTAAACTTGACCATCTAAGGGAAAAGAGGTCAGTGCCCCTGAGCAAATGGTTAGATATAGCATGTTTTAAAAATTTTTGCAGCACACCCACTGAAAACCGCTGAGGAACAGAGATAAACATTAGTAATGGTGCTAGTTAACAACAGTAATAGCTATCACTTGTGGGCCCGAGTATGCCCAGGAGTCCAGAACCAATGGCTTCAACCACCCTAAGGGAGGTAAGTAATTTAAGGACCAGCATTTTCACATGGCAGTGAGAGGCCACGACTAGCATCGCCCGCTTCCCAAGCAGACTTGCTCTCTGACCCTGGAGGCCACGGGGTCTGGCTGGGAGCTATGAGCGCACAGCCATGGCTGGAGCGGCTGCGAGAAACGATGAAGCGAGCCTTCAGGGAGGCGGAGAGGGCAGGATGGGGGAAGGTACCCAGGAGCTCCGCCATGTTCAGAGATGACAGAAAAACCTGGCTGTGAGTTTCCGCGTGTTGCAGATGAGAGCGGCCAGGCGGGCTCGCACCTGCACGCCAGGCAGCCCCACGCGGGGACCTGCAGCGCGCTGCACAGCGGGCAGCAGCCCGGCTCCGGGCGCACTCCCCGCAGGGCCTCACTTACCCTCTCTGACATCACCGTGGGCCACGGGGACACTGTGATCATCATTGGCAGCCCTCTCAGAGCTCTTGCCTCTCACGCCTTTTCTGTTGCTATTTTTACCTAAAAAAGAAAGACAGAGAGGAATGCCTTTGCACCGCATATGTCACAGTTGTCCCAAGGATGGCGAGGACTCGGCCATCTTCGGCAGAGCAGCCACCTCCACCTCTGCATCCCCTGTCCCCAGCGACGCGCCCGGGCTGCCGAGGTGCTCCTGGTTAAAGGAGAAGCACCGTGGTCGGGTGCAGGCCCAGGGAAATCAACCACCCTCCGTACAAACAAGGTACACGTGCGGACCATTCCTATTCTGAGCCTGCAATGGCCCTGGGGCTGTGCCTTTGACCACCGCCCCCACCTCCGCCCCCAGGACCCAGAGGCGATGCCCCATCTAATTGATAACATGGAGCTGGAGCTTGGACTTCGGACTCCCGAGCTAGCATTTCCCACCCACTCCCTCCGAGGCCCTGGCCGGCTGGGCACCTGGGGGCTCGGGGCAGGACTCCTCACGGGTACGTAGGAAGCCTGTCTGCGCCAGCGCCGCAGACCCCTCCAGCACCCACCCCCGCCACGTGCCCCTTCTCCCTCTGCTTCAGAAATAGCAGTCTCCTTTCCGCCTCCGTGTTCCCCCCTCCAGACCTCGGAACCTGCAGCTCCTCCTCCGGCAGCACCCTTCCCTCACCTCCATCTAATGAACTCCTGCCGAGCCTGCCCATCAGCTCCAACTCCGCAACCCGAGAGGCTTTCCTGCCCTCCCTGCCCGGGCCGGTGGCTCCTTCGATGGCTCCCACAGCACCTGTCTTAGGCCAAGAGGCTGATGCAGGGGTTCAGGTGCAGGTGGCGATTGAGGGAGGGCTCCGAGGCGTCAGGGGAGGGGGAAGCAGGGTGGGGCGGAGGAAGGAGCTCAGCGAGGCTGCATTCTCAGGGCCTCCCACTGGGCCTGGCCCCCCGGGGAGCCCTGGAGCAGGACCTGCACACTGCACCGCGGGTCCCCGCCCCGCTCCCAGCCCAGGGGCTGCTTTCCTCCTGCTGGTTGGCTCTGGCTACGGGCTGACCCACTGGGAAGCGGGAGCTGACGCCTTCCGAGGGCCACGTCCCGAGACAGAGGCAGCCATGAGCCACCGCAGCCAAGGCCCCAGCAGCTGCGGGGCCGGGGGGCGCCAGCAGGCCCCCTACCGCTCTGCACACCTGTGCTGCGTGGCACCATCACGCACACGACACATGTGCTCGTCTGCCTGTGGGGGTAGGAGCGTGTCTGGTTCTGCTCACTGCTCTGTCTCCAGAACCTGGCAGACAATCGGCTGGAGGGAGGGAAGGAGGCAGGGAGGGAGGGAGAGAGTCACTCAATAATCAAACAGACAAAAGCAAGAGGAGGAGCAGATTTGTGGAGGAAGAGGCTTAGTCTGGACTTTCTAAAGCAAGTTGAAATACCAAGATTGGATTGTGCCAACTAATGAAACCATTTCAGATTATTATTCTACAATCACAAACAGGAAAAAAAAAGATCAAGAAAAACTTAAATCTGCAAAAAACTCAAAGAGCACATTGGGCCCAGCTACGGGCACTCTCCCTTCGTCATCTTTGCGGGGCTCCCCCTGGAAATCTCTCATTTTTCATGTCAGCTAAAAAAAAAAAATCACAAAATTAAGTGTCCCCCTCAAGTCAAGGACGTCAAGTAACCAAACGTCCAGAAAGGCCAGAGGGGAAAGGCCGCCCACCTGGGCGGGCCTGGCATCCGCCTGACGTCACCTGGGCGTTTGTGCCGTTTCTGTGGGCAGAAAGGTCACAGACAGTGACCTCCAAAGATGTCTTCTTCTTGAGGAGTCTGACCGAGGGTCTGTGAATCCCTTGGCTGTTCCCCAAAACCAGCACCCTAACTTTGGCAGATGCCAAAAATGAGATGCCAAAGACACCACCACTGCACTGACCACGGTGTGTCCTGGGTAACCCCTCCACCTCTGCCAAAAGCTGCCAGAACGTGCATTCTGATTTGGCAGAAAGATAAGACATTAAGGGGTAAGACATTAAGGAGGGAAAAGTTTTACAAAAGATGTGAGGAAAAGCTGAGGTTCTGGGGCAGAACGCTCCGTCCCAGCCCTCCACAGACGCAGGCCATTCGTCGCGTGACTTCTCTCTGCCCCGGCCAGCTCGCCGCAGCCTCGGCGGCCAGCAGGGGAGTGACGGACCAAGAGCCCGGCCCTGCTCCACCCCCAGCCTCCTCTGCGTCACGCCCGGTCCACGCCCATGACCACAATGACTCCCCTCAGCTCGGGGACCCCAGAAAGGCCCAGATGGGGGCGCGGGAGAGGCCAGTTCCTGGGGGACCACCATGAGGCAGCGGGGCAGGAGCTCTGACGGCTGTGGCCACGGGGCAGACACCAGGCAGGGCCGGCCACCTTCCCGAAGCTCCAGGTGCTGCACAGGCCTCAGGGCCTGGTTCCAGGGGCCACCACTGCACTGACCACGGTGTGTCCTGGGTGACCCCTCCACCTGTGCGCGCCGTGCCCCATTCCCTCCTCAGGAAGACAAGGAGACGCGGCCCCTGCCTCGGCGGCAGAGACGGGGAGGAGACAAACAACACATAACACGTGTCGCTGCTTCGGGCAGGGCCCGACCGCAGTGCCCGCTGAACAGCCAGCTTCCTTCTGTTCACCGGCGGTGCTATTGCGGGGCCTCTCGCATCGCCAACCGCCCTTCCAGTTGCTGAGAAAACAACAGCCGCCACGTGGAGGGTGAGTCACGATTTGCGAGGCTTCTTCACGCAGATCGTAGCCCTCGATCCTGGCAAGTGCCTGCTGAGGGCGGGAAGCTTATTCTGAACACTATTTTACTGGCAGGGACACTGAGGCCCCACGGGGGAAGAGACCCACCCAAGGGCACTGACGGAGCCAGGCAGAGCTGGAGTCTGACTCCGAGTCCAGGCCCTTCCCAGCCCCTTCCTCTCTTACAGCGAGGGCAACATATGGTCTGTCCAGATGAAAGAAGAGAGTAAAGTGGAAATAGCATACACAGAAGGAGCCAGAATTAAATCAACATCTCCATCTGGGCTGCGTGACAAAACTGAATTCCTTAAAAGTAGCAAAACGGAATTGCCAATGTGGGCCCCAGGTTCTATTTTGGTCTGCGGTGATAAATAGAATGCTTTTTGATTGATAGGAAACAATTTTTCCCCTCTATACAAGGAGCTTACAGTAGCAAAGCCCAGAAATTGAAAAATTCTTTGCTGCATATTTTCATTTTCCCCAGGAAATTCCAGCCCAGCAGCCTCTGCACTCCCTCTTGTGAAGGGCCCGGCCCAGGACCCTAAGCTCCCCCGTAGAAGGGAGGCCGAGCCCCACGCAGAGGGGTTCTCAGGAGCACCCCAGAAATGCGGCCTCGGGCCATCGAAACAGGCAACAATGACAGCTTTCTGAAACACCACCACCCATGCACAGCTGCAGAGAACCTTGCCCAGGACAGCGTGCGGGTCTCTGCAGGTGAACCTGGAAGTCCTGAACACGGCTCGTGCTCCGCTGTGGGTTAGAAGAAGGGCCACGGAGGGGCAAGGGGAATGACCTGTGTCCTCACCCCATTCCCAGACTGTCAACAGGTTCCCCAGGGATCAGGTGAATATGAAAGGAGGCTAAGTGGTTGAATGGGGCACTCACTCCAGCTACTCAGCAACGTGGATAGCCTGGGGTGGAGGTGGAGGTACCAGTGCAGCTTTCTAAGTCTTTCGCCAGGGTTAGACCAAATCAACGCACCGACCAACCAAGCAGTCGATCACCCAACCAAGCAACCAACCAAGCAACCAATCAACCAACCAACCAACCAGTCAATCAACCAACTAACCAACCAAACAAAAGCCCTCCCCACCCTCCTCACCTGAGTCCTCCCCATCAGCCTCTGCCCTCCGCTGGGCCAGCTTTTGTGCAGCCTTGGTCTCCATCAAGGTCCCAGGGCATGAGAGACAGTCACTCCCAGCCTCTACGCAGCCACAGCCACCTTCCTAAGTGGCAACCAAGGAAGGAGCTCTTTAAAGAAAGAGCCACGACCGTAACAGCAGCAGACGGGGGTGTGCCGGGGACAGCGTGGGGCACGGTTGGCACTTGCCTGTCAGTTTGGGTTCAGCCTGGAAACAGGCACAGACAAGGCCTTGGTGCGGGGGTGTCTGTGGGAGGGGATTTCATGAAGGAGTGAAGGGACAGGGATGCAAAGGAGGAAATGCCGATCACGCAGGCTGCGTGCTGCGCAGGGCGCTCTGGGACTCTGGGGAACCGAACAGAAGTGCCCCTGAACTGTCCCTTTGGAGGCTGGGAGGGTGCGTGGTGGTGACCCATCTGGTCTCACACCACCGCAGGAAGTGTGGCTCATTACTAGTCCCATGTCACAGTGAGTAGTCCAAGGCTCGGGGAAGTCACACATGCCCATAGATGGCACAGCCAAATTTTGACCCCAGCTCTCTCTGAATCCCAAACAACTTTGCCAAACACCCACACCTGCCGTGCACAGATTGACTAGTCCATAAAAATCTGTGCCATTTGAGTCTTAATTAACATTTGACGGTGTTTGGTAGCAACACCCCAGCCCTCTCAGGTGCCCCGCACCCAGGTGTCACTGGATGCCAGCCAGTTACAGACATCAGCCCCTCGGGAGGTCATCCAGAGACACCCAGGTCTCATGGGTTTCATGACCCCAGGGGGGCAGCTATGGTGGCAGGGATCTGAGAAGGTCACCGAGGGCAGAGCCATTGCTGGAAATTCCAAGAGCAAGGCTCCCTGGCCCCTGGGGACATGCGGCAGAGACCTCGCCTCAAAAATGCAGGCTCCAGGGCCCAGGCTGCCATTGTCCGGGCACTGAAGGCTTCATCCCCTGTGAGATCCGGGAGCCACGGAAGCTCAAGGTGCGCGGGAAACACGGTGACTGTTTTTAAGAACTGCAGCCTCCAATCCAGCTTCCCCAAACACGGAGTGTCTCCCCTTCTCAGCCACCAAGCCTGGTTTCCGGACCAGCGGGCACAAGCAGGGGGACCTGCCAGCATGCACAGCTGACTTTGGAGAACACTTTGGAGAGAAGTGTTGTCTCGAAAGCTATTTGCTGATGTACATGAAATAAACTTTTTTATAAAACGTTCTTTCCCTCAGAATTTTGTAGGGAGTTGATGTGGACAAAACACTTTGGATTTTCTTCAAGTGATCATGTAGCGGCGTGATGTAGAGATTTCCTGTTCCTTATTTACGTGCGCTGAGAGTTCTGTGATCGCTGTTAAAATACACTCGGAAATGTCTACCCACACCCTCTCCGAGCCCTCAGCCCCGAGCTTTGCCCAGGAGAAGATGTTTCCATCCGAAAGCCCAGCACGATACCCTGAGTGAGGAGAGCAAGGCTGCGGAGGGAAGCTCTTTCCAGAAACTGGCTCAGGGCGCACACAGAAAGGGCTTTGTTTACAACCCAGCATGCTCACATAACAGCTCTCCGGTGATGGCCCCGCGGGCCGGGGCACAACACAGCACAAAATGCAAACTCGCAGATTCTGGGCGCCACCACACAAACAACTGTGGCTCGCTGCCCGCTCCACGGATTCCACTGCTGGGAACCAGGGACCAGGCCCACAATGAGACATGGAAATGCGCATATTCCAAAGGGTGTGGTATCCACCCCCACACCTCCACCCCCGCCCCCCCCCCACCCCGTCCTTGCAGAGAGCAACAAACAGGTAAAATCCCAAAAGGTAAAGGCAATGTGACATGGTCTATTTCTAACCCAAGGCACAAGGGAGGAGGGATAAAAAAGAAAACCTTCAAATCGCTTCTCTAGGGTCTTGTTTACTAACTTGTTTCTTACTGCCACTTGGGAAAGAAATGGTGAGTTACGTAGCTATGATTTACTTTTCTGTTCTGTTTTATTCTCTAAAAACAGTATGGCCGCAAACCAAGGTCACCGACTTGGAGATGACATGCAAAATGAGTACACCCCAAACCTATGGGCATGCTCTAAATGTGGTCCCTTATCTGCTCTTCACCCTGAGCTGATGAAGAGTGGGGACCTGAGACTGCCTCCCGGGGTCCCGAGGCATTCCAGCCCCGGGCATCTAGGAACTATTGGGTTCTGCCAGAAACAGCCGGCTACGCGGAATCGGAGAGAAGCAGGAAGTCGGCCCCCGTGAGGAACAGCATCCTGGCTAGCCGTGCTATTCCTCGGGAGGCGGGCGGGGCCCATCCGGAGAAGGGTGTGAGCAGAAACTGGGTAAACCGCTGCTGGCATCCCGCAAGGGGCAACATTCACGGACCTCTCCGTCTCCGGCAAGTTCTAAAATTCCGGGATGAACGGCTGCTCACAGTGAGGCGCTCCGCCCCTGTCCGGTGCTGAGTCGCCGGCAGCCTCAGGAAAGGGCTGCACAGTTCTGGCCCTGACTGGGGTCGGGGCGGGGGGGGGGGGGGTGGAGGAAGGGCCGGGGGTGGTTCCACACACCTGCCTGCGTAATAACATTGCAGAGAGCGCCCCTCACACAAGTGCGCACACGTCAAAAGTGGTGGAATATGAGGTACGTAGCCCAGGTACGTAAGAGTGTTGGACCCATGTCAATTTCCTGGTTTTGATACTGTCCATAGCGGTGATTCCCAACCCACTGGGGACTTCTGGCAATGTCACAATGGGGGGTGGGTACTACTGGTGTCTAGCAGGTCAAGGACAGGCATGTTGCTGAACATCCCACAATGCACAGGACAGCCCCCTCCACACACACACACACACACACACACACACACACACACACACAACTGGCCCCAAATGTCAATGCTGACGAGGCAGAGAAGCCCTGCACTACAGTGTGAAAGACGTTGTCACTAGGAGAAGCGGGGTGACGGATACACAGGACCTCGCTGCACTGCTCCCGCCATTTCCTGTGAGTCTATAATTATTTCCCAAAAAAAGACTTAAAAATGTTTAAAGATTCAAGTCCACTCAGTACATCAGAGCGCTGCTTCTCTGGTAACCAGCCACTCCAGGAAAACGGCACTGCCCTCAATTAACCAAAGGATTCAAGTGTCCAACGCCAGGGCTGACGTCCTCGGCAAATCTCCGTGGCGGAGTGAGAGAGCAGCCAGGGGCCACGGACAGGGCTCACACCGCAGGCAAATCCCAAGCCCCGGCTCCTTAAGTCAACCCTCCTGCAAAATGAAGACAGGACTCGGACACTCAGAACACTGGCCTCCCCTCTTCCCTTGAGCCCAACCTTCATGCAAGACAAGGACTATCTGGCCCCGATTCGTGTGGCTCAGTGGGTTGGGCATCAGCCCACAAACCGAAAGGTTCTAGGTTTGATTCCCAGTCAGGGCCTGCACGTGGGTTGCAGGCCATATCCCCAGTTGGGGGCGTGCGAGAGGCAACCAATGGATGTTTCTCTCTCTCTTTTCCCTCCCTTCCCCTCTCTTTAAAAATAACTAAATAAAACCTTGAAAAAAGAGAAGTACTCTCTGGAAAATGTTTTATCATCTGCAAAGACAAAGCACAGGATAGACTTTTAAATTAGCTATATATGTTTTTACATTCTTATTCACCTCTGAATCTAACTTCTCATGCCCGCCTCAGTGCCTAGGAGTGTCTGACATGTAGTGTGCACCACCCACCCAGCAGAGCCGAGACCTGAGGTTCATTCACACTGAACGCCCCGACCGAGGCCCAATGTTTCTTTTTCCTCTATCAATAAATGCCTTCCTAAGACATCATGACACCTGTCTATGAAACGGCCCAATGCAGAGATGAATGCATCTGTTACATCATGAACAGCCCTTACATCAAGCTACCACCGAAAGTGGGAAGAAAATGATTTCTCTTAACGTGGTTTAACTGCCTAAAGCTATCCCTGACTCCGTCACTCAAGGTCATTCTCAGACCAGTCTCTCCCACTTGGGGTCCAGGGCGAAGGATTGCACTGGCTGACTGCACTCCCCCCAAAAGGAAGCAAGGTGAAAGTCTGCGATAAATGTCACACTTTGCTTGTCACAGTTGGGGGTGCTTTAACAAGCCCATTAGAAACATGGCAGGCCTGGGGGCAGCCCTCCCTGGGGGCCTTGAGCCGAGTCTCTGGGCTGAGTCTAGAATTTTCAAGGACCTGTTTTCCATTTAGGGATCAGAGATCCCGCTCTCGGCACACCTGCGTTCACTGGCTCAGTCCCCCAGCCTCTGTTCCGGGGGGCAGGGCGGGGGCGGGGGGTGCGGGGCTGTGCTGCTGTCCTTCCCCCAGGCCTCACCCAGCACCCCCTGCTAGGCAGGTTCTTGGTAAAGCCCTGCAGAATAAGGGCGAGCACACCGTGCACTGACACGCTGAAAGGTTTTGTTGAAAAGCTTCTAGAACAATTAGCAAAGGGAAGTGTGGTAGCGGGCCCAGTCTTCCTACTTGCAGAGGAAGAGGCTGAGAGGCCTGCGGGGCTGCAGGCCCAGCAGGTGCAGAGAGCTGAGCTCAGACTCAGACTCTCGGTGGGGAGCTTCCACCACGTGCTGCTCACTCCCCACCCCCGCCCCCACCATCCCCAGTGAATACCGGTACCTAATATGTGCATCTTCCACTAAAATAAAAACACGTGCAAATTTGAGTTAAACCAAACCAAAACCAAAAGGCCTATGTTGAAAAACACGGGAGAAGGGTTTTCAAATGTCCCAAGCCAGCGAGTGACACTGAGCAAGTTATTACACTGTCAGAGCCTTAGGTTCCTCATCTATAAAAATAACAAGAATGTCCACCACTCAGAGCCACTAAAGAATCAAATGAGACAGTTATACACACAGCTCCTAACGGAGGCGTGGCAGGTGTTCTGTGGATACGAGGGTCTCTCTCCAGTGCTATTCCACTGCGGCTTCTCTTGGTTTTTATAATTCCGCAGAAAATATTAAAAGTTTTGGATGGTTCTTTCTGTTGAGGGCCACACAACTGACCGAGCTGCCTGCTGGTTCACAGCTGTCTGACACAAAGGCCGCAGGCCACCCCCGCCCCAGAGCGCTTGCCAACCTGGTCCTACGTTCAGGAGTTGTGTCCCCAGCTCCGCCCCTTCGCCCCCCCACCCTGGCCTCCCCGCAGGCTTTCAGGAACAATTTAACCAAACAACGGCGATGCCTTCCATGCCAGGAGCTGTGTAAGGTGCATGGGCGCGCCGCTCCTTTCAAGGAAGGCCATGCCCAAGCCGCTCCTCAATCCTGAAATACTAGGACCGGAGCCGTTCACAATTTGAGCAAAGAACATTTGGACCAATTAAGAGAGTCCCCCTTCGCAAGAAGTATAAGAAACGGAATGGAAGTCATTTCCCCAGGACATGGCCACAGGCGCTGCGGGCGGATTCCAGGAGGGTGGGGAGATGGAAGGAAGACGCAGCGCCCCGGGCTGCCAGGGCAGCTGGCCTTTCCCGGTGTCCTCAGCGCGCCCTCTCCACGGGGGGGACCGGGCTCCGGCTGCGGCCCCAGGCTCGCTGGCAGAGGCTCTGACACCCTGCCCTAAGTGGGCAGAGGATCCCAGGGACCCAGAGAAAGCAGGAGACGGGGAGGCAGCTGAGGGGACCCTGGTTGCGTCAAGGCCTACTTGCCGCACTGTCTCCAAAAGGCCATTGTGCCAGAACACACCAGCCCTTCACATCCCCAAACCCAAATTCGCTCTCAAGAAAACACGCGGTAGGAAGACTGAAAGCTAGGCAGACAGGGAAGGGTGTCTGGCAGAAGGATCCTTTGCTCAGTAAATTTCAGACTTGGCTCCAGAGGTGCCCAGGGCCCGGGCAGCTTCCCAGCTGCACAGCTCTGCCTCCACCTGAGGGGGGTGCCGGTCAGGTCTAAGCTCTGGGGAGCTCCGAGGGGCCAGCGGGGTACGCGGAGCAGCCTCTAGAAGGGCAGGGCGGGGGGCAGGGACGAGGAGGGTCGGGGATTCTCTCATCCTAGAGGCATGGTCAAGGAACCCAGCCGATCCCCCAGACTCAGAGGCTGCCGCTGAAAGAGGTTCACGGCCACGGACGCCCCCTCCGGCCGCGACAGCGCGGAAAGTTACTTACCTGGTGGAGGCGTCTCCGGAGCCAACTTCTCCCTCTTGGGAGCTTTCTTGGGCTTGGTCGCCTTCTTGGGCGTCCTGGGCTCGGACGGGCGCAGATCCTGCGCCTCCTCCCCGGCCCCCGCGGGCAGCGGCGGTGGGAAGGACTCGGGCTCCGGCTCCGGGCGCGCATAGTAGGGCTCCCGGCTCCAGATCTCCTGCACGTAGTAGTCGGGGTCCTCTAAGGCTGCTCCCTGAGCCTCTACCCCGGCCAGGGCCACCTCCAGGAGCACGAGGACCAGCGCAAGTGCGGCGGCGTCCTGGCGGGCCATGCTCACTTTGCCCTGCGCCCTCGGTAGGGTCGCTTTGGCCGGGAGCGCCGGGCGGGCGGCGAGCGTGGACGGCAGCGCGGGGCACGGACGCCGGACGCAGCGGCGGGGCGCACGGGACTCAGGAGGCAGCCGGCGGCGGCGCGTGTGACCGGCCCGCTGGGCTGGGCTGGGCTGGGCCGGGCCAAGGGGCCCGCCAGCCGCGGGGCGGGCGCAGGGGGGCCGGCCCCGCCCTTCCTCCTTCGCTCCCTTTCGCCGCCAACTGCTCCAACTCCGCAGAGGCCGGCCCCGGGAGGCAGGGTCATCCCCACCCCGATAACTGTCTCCAAACTTCTCCTTTCTGAACCCCGACGCCGGGGTACCCCAGCGCCTGCTTCCCCAGAAACTCAAAGGAGTTCCCATCTGGAAGAAAATGTGTCCCACCCTTTCGTTTTACAGGTTGGACAACGATGGCCAGAGATGAGAAAGGATTCACACAAGTCTTCAAACAAATGGGAGACTGGTCATGGTTCTCTGCAGGTCGTACAGTCTCCCACTCACCTCCGCCCTGGCCGTTTCAGGAGCCGTGGTGGAATTCCTGAGCCCCCAGGTCCCCAGGGTTCAGAGGAGAAAAGTATCCAGGGGGCCAGGGTCCAAGGACCCTGCAGGGCCCCCGCTCCCAGCTGAGAAGGTGACTCTGTGGGACTGAAAAGTGAGAAAGTGGAGCTGTCCTCGGCTGCCTGTGCAGCCACAGGTGACTTTGGTTCCTCCAAATAGCCTCTTCAGCCCAGAGCCGCTCCTCCCAACCCATGTCGGGCAGGAGGGGAGCTCACTGCCTTTTGAGAGGGCACCTGCTGCCCCCCGACATCTTTGTGCTGATCCTTCAGGCTGGATGGCGGGGGTACTCACCTCCATTGGTTTTCTTGTACTTTTACTTTGTTTTCTACGTTGGTTTCTACGGCTGCTGTTAACAAATGTCCATACATTTGACGGTTTAAAACAACAACTATTTCTTACCTTACAGCTCTGCAGGTTAAAGGTCTGAGCAGGTGCCCTCAGCCAAGATCAGCATCGGCAGGCTGTGCCCCCATCGGAGCCTCTGCGGGGGACCCTTCCAGGCTCACACTGGGTGGTGGCCTGAGGCCCCGAGGACTCGCTGGCTGTCAGCTGGTCCCTGTTGGTTTCCTCCTGCCAGCTGTCTGTGTTCCTTGCCCTTCTTTCCATGGGGACCTCCTGCTGGCCTCTTGGGTCCTTGGCCTGGGGGCTCCCACCTCAGAGCCAGCACTGGCCTGCCGAAGGCTTGTGCTCCCCCTGACTTCTGCTTCTGCCACAGGTTTCCTTCTCAACCCAGAGCAAGTTCTCTGTTTTACGGGCTCCTCTACTTGGCTGGGCCTGGGCAATCCAGACCACCCCCCTCTTAGGGTGATAGCTCCAACCCCATCTCTACACAAAGCCCCTCTTGCCATGACACCAACGTACTCACAGGTCTCTGGGGTTCAGGTAGGGATGCCTTTGGAGGGCCACTCCGCCTCCCACAGGGACAGACTGACGCCCATTTCTGAATTCACCTACAGAGCCGGCCATTCCAGGATGCCAGTGAGCTGAATCTGGGCACCCGGGCAAGGCCCCCCGTTTTCCTGGTGTCATGTTCCTGAGCCCACACAGCGGACAGGGCGTGGACTGGGGCGGCTGCCGTGGTCTGCCTCTCGCCTCTCTCACTGGCCACCTTGTTTATTCTCACTGCCATCCCCTGCCCCCCGACAGGCCACCTAGCCGGTCACCCATTAGGGCAGGCCCTCCAGTCTCCCTGGCCACAGACAAGGCAAAACGGCCATGACGAGGGGAGGAGGCATGGGCCTAGGCAGTGTCCCGCTCATCCCCTCACCGGGAGGCCTGGAACCGAGTCCTCAGTCCCCAGGACACTCCAGAATCAGAGCCAGAGGAGGCCTCACGGGAGCGAAAGAGGAGGCGGGCCCCCTTCCTGCCTCTCGGCCACCCCCCAGAAGCCTGGCTGGGCTCGCCCGGGAGCCCCCGGATGCCCGCTCGCACCCCTCTGTGCTGGGTCCCCAGGGACCACTCATACGGTGCTTTTGTCTTCAGCCAGGCACCCCGGGCAACAAAGCAGGCCAGCCCTGGGCTCCCGAGGCCACACGGGCCGTGCCTGCCGCAGCAAGCCATCCCCCGAGAAGCCCCAGCTGGCTGTGCAAAACACAAGCAGGGGCCGCCTGGCGTCCTGGCTCCCAGAAGGGGCCTCAGAGACCATCCAGGCCAGAGCCACAGCCTGTGCCACCTCCCTCAAAGACCCCAGAGCTTGCCAAACGTGCAGGCACCAGGCCCAGGCCAGGCCTACAGAACCCTCAAGAGGTGGGACCGGGCGCTGGCTGTCCACGAAGCTCCCCAAGTCATTCGGATACAGGGAGAACTTGAGACTGGTCTCCCCTCCCATTTCACAGACAGACAGACTGAGGCCCAGGCTCGCCCACCGACACAGAGCAAACCAGTGACAGTCAGGACTACACCCTGCCCTCCTGCCATTACCGAATCGTCCTCATCAGGCAGTGTTCATTCTGGGGAGCCCGGAACCGTAAGTTCTGAAAATATGTTACTTTCCCGGTAACTCTTAGCAAAGAAATTAACATGCGCCCGGTCCGCATTCTGAGACTGTGCCACCCAGCGGGATCTTCAACTCGTCCCTGGAATCAGGAAATGTATCCCGCGGCTCACTGCTCTCCCTATTACTGCCTGTTTGCTTTCCATGGAGAGGCGTGTAATTAAAGCAAGCAGGACGAACAGAACAAGAATCGATTGCACAGAGGCCCATTCCTCCAACACGCAGCAGCCACAGCACGTCCCTGGGCTGCCTGTCCACCTCCGGGCTCTCTCCCTGGGGCTGCTCGCCTGGAACCTTGCGGGCCACAGCCGGGGGTCAGGGAGGGCAGGGAGATAGGACGGCAAAGCTGACCTCATTTTCTCGTCTCCAAGCCTCACGTTGCTTCTCAACACTACCTGTCAGCTTGGGAGGGTTTCCTCACCCTTCAGCTTCCTGGATAAAAACGCTCCCACCTCTCCTTTACTGTCTAATAGAGGGGTAGGCCAAAGTAGGTTTACAGTTGTTCATATAGAAATAATAGGATTAATAAATAACAGTACAAGAATAAACCCTGTGTTTTATGTACTTGCAACTATAAACCTACTTCGGCCCACCCCTGTATACGTATCTAACATGTTGATAAGTCCTATTGCTTCTTGTGGCTTGTACCCTTTAATTCACCTCTTCCTCCATTGCCACACCCAATATCCTAGTCCGTTGTTCAAAGCCTCATGCCAGACGACTGGAGCACTTACTCGGCAGGCCTCCCCCAAGGCCTTACCATCCATCCACCCTGCATGGGAAGCTACCAGTTCTCTCCCCGAAACACCCATGTATAGTGGGGCTTTCCTACTGAAGGACCCAAAGTGCTTATTGATCCCATGTAACTCCAGTCCCTCTGCATGGACCCAAGCTCATGTACGCACCCAAGCCTTGTTTTCCCAGCTTACCAACAGGCAATGATGAAAGCACACTCTTTTTTTTTTTTTAATTGATTTTTCTTTAAGAAAGAGGAAAAAGGGGGGCGGGGGAGAGAGAGAGAAAGATCGATTTGTTTTTCACTTACTGATGTATTCACTCGTTGATCCTTGTATGTGCCCTGACTGGGGATCGAACACACAACCCCAGCATATGGGGGCGATGCTCTAACCAACTGAGCTACCTGGCCAAGGTGGTAAAACAGTCCCTTGGCTGCTCCTTGCCCAGTGTCTACAAGCTCTTCATTAACTAGTGATTATTATGATCTTCTAATTTTACATCCTCCATGGAAGCAACAGAGTTATAAGAAAGACAAAAAGTTCCCAATAAATCCTTGCAGCATGATCCACCCTGGCTAGGGATCTTTCATAGCATGGCAAAGAGTGCTTTGTTCTGAGACCTTCTTGTTCTCAACCTAATTATGTGTTTAACTTAAATCTGGGACCCTACAAGGTCCAGGAACCTCTTCCGGTAGCGCGAGCAGAGTGCAGTAAGGCGCTAACTTCTCTTGGGCATCGCCATGTTATAAGGCCGAACCTCCAGCTGGGTGTAGCAGCGGATGCAAATCTGGAAACCAAGATGGCAGTTTAGAATCCCTCCTGGCGGTAGAGTCTTTCAAACGGTGTTCTTTAAAGTCGGCCCATCACTTGCTTCTGTTGGGAATGGTATGTGTGTTTCTGTTAGGGGAGGGAAGCCAGTGTTTGTTCATTCATTTCTGACACTCAGGATTCTGTTCAGCTAATTTCTATTACACGGCCTAAACCTGTACTTGTCAAATAATCCTCAAACACCTTACAGAGCTAACAACTTTGTAAATATGTATGAGCCCCAGCGAGGAGATTTATGTGAAGTTGCTTGACAAGGAACAGCGCAGTGTTACAGGTCCAGAGGGCATTCTGTTGAAATAGATGTTGTCAAGACGTCAATACTTTACATTTTTCATAACGAACTCTCACACCGGCTCATTTCCCAAATTATCCCTGAGACTTTTAACTCAAAGAGAATGCAAACGGGATCACTTTGTTTTTTAAGATCAGTAATTTGAAAAATTAGCTACTATATATAAAAACATGCTCTGACACAGTCATTGCTAAAAATAGTCTCAAGATAGATGCTCATGGAAAGAGATATAAGTTGTTATGGCAACTATGATCACAGCGAGGAAGCTGGAGGGCTTTTCCCATCATTACTCTGTTCAGATAGGGCGGTTTAAGTGGCAATGCCCTTTGTAATGTCCTCAATCTCATCACTGCATAATTACCCATTTCACATTTAATTTTCAACATGTTTGTTCTTCCTCCCATGCTCTGTAGATGTGGCACCTTCCGGGTAAGCCTCGTTCTTAGTTCATGCCCCACCCCCACCCCCAAACTCAGCTCTTCTCCTCGCTGGTGCCTCTGTGCTGCGATTTCATTTTCGGGTTGACCTGGAGAAACTGGCTTTGGCTTGAGATAGT